CCATCTTCTGTGTTCTCCATTGCCTGCAACCAAGGCAATACCTTCCAGAGAACTACGGTGGCCTGGAGCGGACAATAGCCTACAGTTTGGCCCTGGGAGGGGACACGGACACCATAGCTTGCATGGCTGGGGCTATCGCTGGAGCCCACTATGGCGTAGAGGCCATTCCTCAGCCATGGATCCGCTGCTGTGAGGGGGCAGATGATGCAGATGTGAATGCAAAGCGGCTTCACATACTCTACCATCAAGTGTCACAGGGGAGCGGGAGAAGTGATCAGAGCAGTGAAGAAACATCTGATAACCATCAAAAGCCTACAAACGGCACAGAGAAGTAAACCACAAGCATAAAATAGAAAAAACAAAAAACAAAAAAAATCCCACTGAAGTTGGGATGCTCCATAAAACAATACAATGATTTGCAAATCCTTTACAATGCGCGACCCTGTTCATGGATGGATAAAGACAAAATATTTAATGTTCAACTGATGAATGTTAGTTTTGTTGCAAATAATCTCATTTTGTATTAGATGCCTGCGATATGGTAAAAAAAAAAAAAAAAAACAACAGAGGCAACAAAAGACTTTATATGTCCGATTTTTACTTTTACAACTCTCTCTGTATGCAGCTGTGGTTGTTTTGAAGTGCTCAATAAAAAATGAGTTAAATTGAGTTGAGGATTGCAAGTAATTGAGGGATTTCATGTTCTACGGTCCATAATTACATCAAAAGAATCTGGAGAAATTTCAGCATATAAGTGGCAAAGCCGCCGACCAACTCGAATGCGATGTGAACTTGGATCCTTTAGGCGGCACTGCATTAAAAACGGGCATGTTTGTTTAAAGGATACTGCCATGTGAACAAGCATCTATGAGACACATTCTGCATGTGTTACAACAGTGCGGCATCATAAGAGTGCGAGTATCAGACTGGCCTGCAAGCAGTCCAGACCTGTCTCCCATTGGAAATGTATGGCGCATTATGAAGCGCAAAACGCGACAACGGAGACCCTGGACTAGTAAGCAACTTAAATTATCGGTTACATCAAGCAAGAGTAGGAAAAATTCCACATACAAAGCTTCGACAAAGAGTGCCATCGCTTCCCAAATGCTTATTTAGGTTTGTTCAGAGGAAAGGTGATGTAACACATTGGTAAACATGCTCCTCTCTCAGCTTTTTTAGGTCGTGTTGCAGGCATGACATTTGAAATGACAATATTTGAAGAAAAAAAATCGTCCACCAGTTTTAATCTCATACCTGTTTTTTGTGGTGTAGTGATGAAAAAAAAATCGTCCACCAGTTTTAATCTCAGATCTGTTTTTTTGTGGTGTAGTGAATTGAATATAGGTTGAGGATTTGCAAATCATTGTATTCTGTTTTGTTTTACACAACGCCCCAACCTGACTGGAATTGGGGTTTGTTTTTTGAAGTGTTTTCCCCTCTGTTGGCAAGCTCAGAAACTGATGAAAGGGATTATATTTTCGGGGGTAGTGGTGGTGACTAATGGCAAATGTTCTTCGATAATGTGTCAGGTAAAAAACAAAAAATTCAGGACATTAAAGCAGACATGCATTTTTACCCCTCATAATTTAAAACCGTTCCCAGCCAGGTATCAGGAAAAGGATTTGTAGCACACTTGTAACACTCCACGTAAAATTACTTGGTTCTGGGGCGCGGTTATGTTTCATGCTGTGGGCTCTCATTATCATCATGGCTGGAGGCAGAGCGAAGGCGTTAAAGCTACGCAAGCTGTTGCAAGAGTGAAAGGTGATCAGTGTGAAAAATGTTACCTTGTGGAGGCATCGCCAAGCCGCCAAATTGAACTTTTCATTTAATGTGGCAGATCAAGCTGTCACTTGTAAATGCTGTATTTTTTTGATTGTTTTTTGCTCGGCCAAGCTAAGTCATGGGTGGAAAAACTCTTGTTTGGAGGCGGTTATTAGACTTAACACAATGAGGATTTTCAAGGCCAAACATCAATTAGCGAGTTTACACTAATTACTGATCTGATGACAAGAACAATAGGTCTATTTAAATAAGTTATTTATTTACTGTATATAATTATGTACTGTCAACTCATTATCAACAAAAATATTCCAAAACATTTATTTGCCAATGTTGAACAATCTGTGCCATGCAAAACGAAGGCAAGCAGGACTCGTGGTCTGTCATTGCAGCTTTGTTTCGCCTCCTGTAATCATCTTTTGGCAGTTGTAATCCTAAATTTAGAAGATCTTGACGACTATTTAATGTAGGCAAAGCCCATCCCAGTGTGTGGAGGTGGGGCGGGTTGTGGGGGTTCCCAATGTATAAGAAAGTAAAAAGTCAAGTACATATATGTCCCCTTTCAAGTAGGCAATAGAATACTGAAGTTGATGAACAAAAGAAATGTATTTATCATAAAATGTGTCAACTATAATGACAGCTATGCAAAAATGTGGCGTGCTGATCAAAATAACACTTCCAAGTAGATAAAAAAAAAATCCACATCCCTGTTCGAATGTCAAGTTTTTTATTTAAGAAAATGAGATCGAATGTGTGTGTGTGTGTGTGTGTGTGTGTGTGTGTGTGTGTGTGTGAGAAGTCAGGAAAAACCTGGAACATTTGAACTTCATAGGGGTTGGTCAGGCACGTTAAATGGCGACAGATGTATGCCGACTCCCATTTAACATGAGTTTTAATGTGATTGGCAAAGTCTGAACACATCATCTCCGTTGTTTATTTTTACTTGCCCTCTCAAAGATTTCCTTGTTTTTCACTTGAAGTGTACAGGTTGAAAGTCATATCAATGATGGAAATGTTTTTTTAAATGATTTGTCTTGGTCTTTTTAAATGCTCAAAAACCCAGCATTTAAACAGGGGTGTGTAGATTTTGTTATATCCACTGTGTGTCCGTAACCCCGTTCTTCCCTTTTTTCGTGTCAAACAATACTTTGTGTACAGGTTTAATTTGTACAATGAGATGTTCTTTTTCATTGGGTCATTTTGGTGAATAACCATTATTTAATAAAATGGATAATCATTTTTAGCATCTGAGTTGGTGTTTAAATGTACAGAAAATGTACCATATTACTCGAGTTGATGAAAACCAATGAAATTACGAAAACTAAATTGAAAAAACTTTCGTTCACGAAATAGAATATAAACAAGAGTGTTTTTTTTTTTTATGATAACAAACTACATTTTAGTCGTAGTTAAGAAAACAATGTATAGCGCAAATGTTCTTTGGATATTAGTCTCTTTAATATATGAGCTTCTGGGGTTGATTATAAGTGTATTTATTTACTGCTCGACCGTCCACTGCGAGACGGAAGCTCAGTCATCTGGGAGTTGTGATCCTTTTAGTGTGTCGCCTAGAAAGAACGTCATCTGTCTGCAGCCAATAAACAATTACTTCAAGTAGCCTACTTGTACTTCTCTAAAAAGTGGAAACAAAAAGTACTCTGAAATAAAGAATGCAGCTGTAAACTACAAAAGACAAAACATTTTTTAAAGAATGGTTTTGACATCTAACTCAATGCCTCAAAAAAGCGTGTGATGACCCAGAGACAAGGATTCATTGGTATTTAGAGCTTTCTAGCTCACTTTGGGGAGGGGGAGGGTGCTCAAGCACCCCTAAAATTGAAGAGATTTTTTTAAAAACTCATTTAATGCCAAAACGTAAACATTACATTTGCAAAAACCATATCATTCAGTGCCAAAACGTACAATTACGTTTTGGCAGTTTTTTTTTTTTTTTTTTATGAAAAAAAATAATAAAGGGATTTTCGCAACTCCTGAGTAAGTATCAAGGCTTTGGTTAATGATTTCAGTTTGATAAATCACCACGAGATAGCGGGAGTGTTTTTAATCAGAACTTGCTCCACACATCGTGTGAGTGTGTTTGTGTATACAGTGCGGCGATCCTACATGCATGGTGCATGAGCTTGCGGGTGAAAGGAATGTGGTGGTGACGTGCATGAAGAGTTCATGCATCGGTTAAGTCTTTTTCTTGCAATAAACTCTTACTCATGGGTGTCAAACTCATTTTACATTGTGGGCCACATAGGGCCTCGGTAGATGTCAAGTGGGCCGGACCATTAAAAATTATACCATACTCTGCAATAAATAACCAAAATAACATGTCTTTCCTTTGTTTTGGTCTAAAGATGCACAAGAACACTAGGAAAATGTTGAAATTTAATGAACATATCTTTCACAAAACATTTCATGAAGCACCTATGATTTCCTTAGACGAATGTGCAATTTACTTTTATCATTCACATACAGTCAAACCTCGGTTTTCGAATGTCTCGGTTCTCGACCAATTCGGTTTTCGACCAAAAATTTAGATTTTTTTTCTGCCTCGGATGACGAATAAATTTCAGTTGTCGAACAAACTGAGTGCACTTGAATGCACCATTTGACTCCTCTTGCCTTCCTTACACGAGGAAGTGACGCTTCCTCGGGTAGACGTGGAAGTGATGCTTCCTCGTGTTGCTAACAAGTAATTGGTCTTGAAAAATATAGTAATGCACTTTTAAGATTAAACGAGATTTATAAAGAAAGGAATTTTTAAACCATTTACACGAGCATATAAAATCTAAATGTAATCCCTGCCTACACCTTACAAACTAAGGAGAGTGCTATAATATGTGTCAAGAATAATGTATTCACATGTCCTTGATAGCATCTGCTGTGTTGGGTCTGTCTCAGTGACAGACTATGGCTGCTGTTGTCTTCTTCTCTGATCAAAACAATGTTGTATTTTCCTATGATCAAAACAGTGTCCCCCTAGCGGATATTCCACGAATTGCACTTTATTAAAAATATTCATTCCGTGTCTTTCATGCATTTTTTCACTTTCAAATTATCCTGCGGGCCTGATCAAACCTCCTCGCGGGCCGGTTTTGGCCCGCGGGCCGTATGTTTGACACCCCTGCGTCTTACTCATAATGCCCTTTTCGAATTGTTTATGTTGTTATTTCGTAGGAAACAATGTTTTTGATGTTTGAGGTATAACAAGTGCAAAATATATATATAGTACAGTATATAGAATCAAAATCATGCATAATTGACAGCACAGCATCGAATTTCAAACAATAACGCTAGGCTAATAACCGCAACCCAAAAAGCTGACCGTTCTTCCATTCTCGATGTGTCTCGTCTCCACTTCATGTCCAGACGTTCGGGCACAACATTTTCAGCATCTTGAGCATCTGGCACGTACATGTCGGGTCCAACATACACACTCGCAACAGCGTCCTCTTCTTCCAACTTTTCAAACACCTGGATCAACTCAAAATTGATTTCTGACTGGCTTTGCACACTTTCCATGTTAAGCCCTTCTATTGTTGTCCTTGAAATGACATCACACTTCCAGGTTTGTCACTCGCCAAGATCTCACTTCGGGAAAAAAAACGATTACTTTGTCGAATTTACAAAATAGAAATTATTTCATGCTTTATTTAATGTACAGTATTTTGGTTAATTGTGGCATAGAAATATTTCATTGGAATTGTTTGATATTACTTCACACCTTTAATCATAGCTCCCTGATTATGTTGTTAGGTAGGAGTAAGCTGATGCTTTTGAAACCAAACAAAATCTTTCAGTCCGCATCACAGGTTTTCTCTGCTGGAGCGACCTGTAAAAACAGCTGTAGGAATATGGTCAACTTGGTCAACAGGCTTGGGTATAGCTTGTAATGAATGAAAGGTATGTAGATGAGGACCCAACTGAAAATAAATAAAGTCACATAGAGGTATTCGATCTGAGGATCGTCAATGATGGGGGCCAGCACGAGAAATACTGCTGCGATGAGGACCAGTATGGGTAGTATGATGGGAACCTGACGGAAAAAAGGGAAAAGAGCACATACGTTGAGAGTCATCCATTTGTGTTTTTTGTTGTATACAGTTTTATTTCACAAACCCCAATGCCAATGAAGTTGGGACGTTGTGTGAAATATAAATTAAAGCAATACAATGATTTGCAAGTCCTTTTCCTGCCTATGTTCAATTGAATATACTTAAAAGACAAGGTAATTCATGTTCAAACTGATCAACTTTATCATTATTATTATTATTTGTCAATATGCACTCATTGTGAATTTGATACCTGCACTACGTTCCAAAAAAATGGAACAGGAAATTTTTACCACTGTGTGACATCACCTTTCCTTTTGACAACACAATCCGAAACAGTTTGGGATCTGAGGACACTAATTGTTGAAGATTTTCAGTGCCTGTCTTCCCCATTCTTGCTTGATGTGCAACTTCAGTTGGCCACTATTTGATAGTTGTCTCCATTGTTGAGTTTAAGCACTTCATAATGCACCACACATTTTCAGTGAGACACAGGTCTGGACTGCTGGCAAGCCACTCTCGTACTTGTGCTCTTTTACCAAGCCACACTGTTGTAACCTTGCAAAATGTGACTCAGAGATGCTTGCTTTTTAACTTTGTACTGGTAACAATCCAGACAGTCCTCTTCCTCTTTGTCCTCTTCCTCTTTGGCCTGAGGACACAACATCCATGATTTCCCATAGACCATGGCGCGCGCATATATATATATATATATATATAGAGAGAGAGAGAGAGAGAGAGAGAGAGAGAGAGAGAGAGAGAGAGACACACACACACTAGCTTACATCTATC